TTGGCAACCTAAGAACTCTCCTTACCATAAACACACACACATACATGTGTGAATGTGTACACATATGATATAGTGCATGCACTCACACACACACAAACACACACACACTCACACACACACACACACACACACACACACTGAGATCATTGACCAGACCTCAAATCCAGGTCTTTCTTCCTGATAGGAAAGAGCAACAGCCCAGCTCCCTTCCAACCAGCAGCCACAGAGGCAGGGAGTGAAGCCTCCTTAGCCTTAGGTTCTAACCAGTGGAGCTAACAGGTCTGTCAAGTTGGTGTAATGCAAAACAGGAATAAAAAAACAGCAACAACAGTTCATAGAATGAGGGTTATTGAGTCAGCAGATGATTTGCTGATGGGCCTAACACCCTGGCAGGGATTACCTAGGTGTCCAACATTGTAAAGTGTTAATTTCCAAGGCTTTCAATTTTTATGGGCTAGTAATACTACAAAAGCATTTTTTTGGGGAAACTAAGGTCGTCAAATTTTTGTTTTGCCAAAAAAGGACCCAAACAAAAAAAGTCAATACTCAAGCCATCCTAACTACAGTGCTTATTCATACAAAAAGTGAACATGTTTAGCTTTGCATTGCTCTCATTACTCTCATTTTGTCCCTAATAGTGAAACTCTACAGACCTGCGGCCCCCAGTGGATGATCGTAGGACTTCTGCTGTAGGGAATGTACTACTGAACATAAACAGAGCTGAGAGAGCAGGTTTATGAACATACATTGCTGACCTGAGCTTCTGGCAGCTGCAGCCAGGCCCAAACCCCAATTTGAGTTGTGAGGGTTCCTACTTCTCCAAACATTCAGACATACATAGACTTCACCATTTTAAGTCTCTCTCATCTTACTTCAGCATAATATATAAGTCATCTCTCAAGAATAGCACAGCATAGTCAACGTGGCTCATCTCTGATGCACAGAATGGTATTTCCTCATTTATCCTGACGGTCCTTGCCTGTTCCACAGCAACACGTGGAAACCCATTAGAGTGAATCTTCTACAGTCTACACTCAGCATAGTCTCTTTGTCTTTTCTCATTCATTTCTACAAAGCTAATGTCATGCGGACCAAGTCAGAAGAACCATAAGACCTGTATCATTCATTCATTCAATAAATTTTTTTGTTTTGGTACCGGGGATCGAACTCTGGTCCTTGTGCTTGTGCAGCAGGCCGTGAAACCACTGAGCTAAATCCCGGCCCCATTCAATAAATATTTATTGAGAGTCTGTCATGCACCAGGCTTTGGATTAGGTGGTGATGATGTATAGAGACAAACGAGCACAGTTATTTCTCTTATCCAGGGAAAATGAGAGAAACAAACAAACATAAAAATATGTAATTATAAAATGTGACAAAACAGAAAAAAATTAGGAGTGTCATGAGAGAGTATAATAGATGTAGCAGTTAAGAAAAGCTTCCCTGAGAAGAGGACATTTGAACAAAGACCTGAGAGATTGTGTCTGTTCATTGTTTTTGTCATCTTGCATGAACTTTCCTTTCATCTGGTAACAGCACCCGGATGATCATCTTTGTGGACTTTCATTCAAAGTGTCCTCTGGTTGAGGGAGAGCATGTGACTGAGCCAGTTTGCTTCTAGGGCTTGAAATCTGGGAGAGAGTGAAGCAAGGGATAGAAGTAAACTACATGGGTTGTTTTAGTAGCTGATCCTCGACAAGGTGTCCATCCTCCTTACATTTCTGAGCTGTCTTGGTTCTTGATATTTCTGAAACTTAGCTGAAGAAATTGTGAGTTACCTACCTCTCTAATAAATTTTTTGTTTACACTATCTCCTGCATTGTTTTTCACTGCTTGCAACTTTATTGAGTTCTGATAAACAGGATTTAGCAAAGTGAAGAATTCGGGAAAGAACCAATCAGGAGAAGGAACAGTGTGTGCACAGGACTTGAAGTGGAGAAGAGCTTGCTGATATGGGGAACAGAAAGATAGTTTGGCAGAGTGTGCTGAGGAGCAGAGAACAATGCCTCTGCTGGGGCAAACTGCACTAGACCTTGAGGAGCCTCCAGGCCATATTCAGAGTTGGGATTTCATCCTAAATACAAAGGAAATTTGTGGACATACTTTGAGTGTGGGAAAAATATTTTAAATAGCAACAAATGTCGAAAAGGAAAAACAGAACAGTTCATCAGTGTAAAAAACTTTGAATTAGTCATTCCAGTTATGCTCTGAGCAAGCTACAAGACCCAGGGAATGTGTAAGGCTCTCATCATCTCAGTTTGTTTCCTTATCTGTAAAATGGGGTGGTAGATTAAGTGATCTCTAACTTTTCTTCCTTCTTTGATGTTTTGTGATCTGTCACGAAACCTTGTCAGTAACCTTGTCATTGAGTTTACAATAAGGGAGATAAACACACCCAACCTCATGATAGGGTTGTTGCCATTCCAAGCAGTTGTTTAAAGCTTTTGCTAGCTTACCAGGTGATTTTCCCAGCCCATTGTCTTGTTGACTGCAAAAGGATTTGAAACAGTAGTATGAGGCTCAGTGACTATTTTAATGAAAAACTCTGAAAGAGGGTATTTACATAAAATGTGATGGCCTGCTAAGTTTAGGCATAGTGACTTCAACTGAATGCTTCATGACAGAAAATATTAGTAAGAGTACTGATTCCAAGTGAATTTCACCAAGACATTGTAACTGCAAAAATGCCTATGAGTGATGTGTGCATTAATTATCTATTACACAACAAACCATGCCAACACTTAGTGACTCATAATTCTGGGGTTGACTGGGTTATTTTTGGCTGTCATTTCCTGAGGCCTGCTCACTCATTTGACTGAATTTAGCCAGCAGGTGGCAGGGCTGGGAGGGCAAGCCTTTCTCTCCCTGGGGCCTTTCTATTTTTGTTTGTTTGTTTGTTTTGAGGCAGTGTCTCCTTTTGTAGTTCAGGCAGGCCCTGAACTCACTATCTAGCCCAGGCTGGCCTTGAACTCTCAGCAATACTGCCTGAGCCTTCTGAGTACTGGGATTACAGGCATGCACCACCACTCCCGGCTCTGGGGCCTTGCATTTTGAAGGAGGTTGGGCAAGGTTTCTTCTCTGCAAGCTTAGGACAGCATTCCAAAGAGTTTGGAGCATGTGGTCACTCATTAATTACCATATCTGTTCATATCCCAGTGGCCAAAGCAAGACACATGGTCAACGTGGGAGGATACCACACAAAGGCACCTTGGTTAGTGTGCGGCCATTAGAAGCCATTAGTTTAACAATGTGGGAACTTTCCCTCTTAGACTTGCATTGCAAGATAAGCAAGCATCTAACTTGTAAATTATGACATCAAGACACCATATATAGGATATCATTGGTATAAGAGCACATTTGGAGTCACCTAATTAAGAGACTGAGTCCTACATCAACAGCCCTGCTTGCCTCATAAAATTACTCATTAATTTTAAGCAGTGGCTTTGAGAAGTTATGTACATAATATTTAGAGAAAAACAACATTTGCTATAATGGGTTAAAGCACTCCCCACTACAATAACCATGGCCCCAGTTTGGACCTTGAGGCCTACTAATTGCATATTCAGCCACACCCCTTCTGTGCAAATATGGTTATGTATGTGCCTGTCTCATCCACTACAGCTCAGATTCTTTTGAGGGCAGGAACTTCATCTCAAATACAATTGCTTCTCTTAGCCTTCCAGACCTACAACACCAAATAGATGCCCCATAAGTACCTGTTAAATGAATTAAGCACTAAGTGCCTGTTCCAAACACCTATGTGTTCTAGGGATTTTGCTCACAGACTGGATCACTACTTCTCTCCCAATGTCACAAGTTGTTACTCTCCAGTTTACAGTTGATAGGACTGAGATGCAGAAAACCCAAGGTGCAAGTGTGTTTGAGAGGTGCAGGAAGAAATCAGGAAGAGGCAGTACAGGGCAACCCTCAAACTGTTTATTGCCTTTGACATCAATAAAATAATCATTTGTTAATTAAGAGATAGCCACAGAAACCCAGGTGAGAAACCTGCAGAAGAGCTGATTCAGTTCTAGGGATCTTAAAACACAAAACAAAACAAAACAAAACAAGACCTGTTTCTGGGGGTGCAGGAGAGGGATAGGAGCTGCCTTGCTGTGGAGCTGACCTTGTTGAGCAGGTGACAATACCACCAAACAAGGATTTTAACTACGGTTTTCCGCAGGTGAAACGGCAGCCATTATTATTCATTTTGCATATATACTTGCTAGATCAGTAATCATACAAATAATAATTACCATTTACATAATACTCTACACATAAGAGGGCTGGGTAAAGCGCTTTAGAGTGCATGATCTCAGTTAATACAATAATCCTATGAAGTAGGTTTCATTACTCTTAATTTATAGATGAATTAATTGTGGCCCAGGGAGACTAGCTTTCCTGAGGCTACCCAGCTTCTGAGTGGTTGATTTAAAACCTAAGAGTCTGACTAAGAGTCCTGAATAACATTTAGCGCTGGGCCTTGCACAGCTGTAATGCTGGTTTGAGGTGGGAAATTGTCAGTTTCATTTATCTATGCTAAACGGTGCACCTGTAATTTACAAAAAACAACAACCGCAAGTCAGGCTCTCTGTCCGCTTGAGGCATAAAAAACCTACTTGGGAACAGAGAAGTGGAAATCTCTCTCAGTTCCCTCACTCACTCGTAGGCTCCCTCCACAAGTATTTATGGCGCACTTCGGTATTCCAGACCTAGGCTGAGGAGGGAGAATGGTGAACGCGCTGCACGTGGTGTTGCCCCCTAACCACCCTTCACGATTTTGCTCTCTCCAGCGGCAGAAAGTGTCTACAGGAAGCTGACTTCAGCGCGGGGCTGAGAGGGAGCCCGCGGGCGCTCTGGGGACCGCGTGGGAAGCCGGGGGTGGGGGGTGGGGGGTGGCGTCGCGTTAGGGTTAGGGCGGGAGGATTCGGCTTCCCGGCGGCAGAGGGCGCCTGGCGCTGAGGTCCGGCGCGCCAGAGCAGCCCGCGCGGGCGCCGAGAGGAGAGGCGAGGCGAGGCGGAGAGCGCGAGCAGCGGCCACTGCCACGTCTTCCCGGCAGTGGCGGCGGAGGTTGCTCCCCGGCAGGTGGGCAGGGAGCGGCAGCCGGGCAGGAGCGAGACCTCGGGCGCGCGGGGCGGCGGCGGGACAGCGCTGTTCCAGCCGCGGCGCCTCCGCCTCCGCCTGCGCAGCGGGTGCCGACCGAGGCCCGGCGCCCGGCGGTCCCGCGCGAAACTCGCGCTGGCGGGCTGGGACCTACGGGATGCGGGCGCGGACGGCCGTCGTGGCTCGGGACGAGGCCACTTAGCTGCTTCGTGGCCCGGGTCGCGGCTGGCAAAAGTTGGGGCGGACGCCTGGGCCGGGCGGGAAGTGCGGGTGAGGGGCGGCCGGGAGGGCCCGTGTGGGAAGGGGGAGACGCGGGCCACAACGTGCGCTCAGGGACCCCGAGAGTCCGCGCGTAGGGTCGGGGTAGGAGAGAACACCCGGGACTGGGGAACCCGAGGCGCGTAGGTAGGTACCGGCTGTACCCCCTCCCCGTTTCTGTCGCGGGCAGACTCCGAGAGAGGTCGGGCCCAGAATTGGGGCCCCCTGTGGGGTCCGAAGCCTAGGCAGGGAGTTCCGGTAAGAGGTGAATTGGGGACTTGAGCTTGGCTTCTTGTGCTGCGGAGTCAAGTAAGGCCCTCCTGGTCTGCCAGCACTCAAACTGCAGTGCTGCGGTCCGGGTCCCCGGCAAGTTGAGGAAGGACAACTGGGTGGATGGTTTATTTAGGGTTCCAGGGTGAGTAGGATTGATTGGACTGTGTGAAATCATAACTTAGGAAAAAACCCAAAACTATCTCTGCACACCCACCAGCTCCATTCCCTGTTCAGTACTGCCTAGTCCCTGACTCTTAAGAGATTCCTTGGGTTGGGCTAGCAGCTGTCCAGAGCCCAGCACCACATCTGCTCACAGCTTCGTGAGCAAAAGATGTGGCCTTTTATTCTCCGGCTGAGGTTGGTTATTTCAGAAACAAGTGGTTCTGGGGATGCTGGTTGCTTTATTAGAACAACCTGTGTGATGCCCCTAGACAACAGAGATGTGTGTGTGTGTGTGTTTTACTCTCCCTTTCTCCTACATAAACTTTATATTCAAGACACCAGTGTGCCGGGTCATTTATGACAGTAATACAGCTGGAGACCCAGATGGTGGGCCTCTTGGGTCCTTGTTCTCATCTAGATGTGTTAGCAAGGAGTATGATTTTGGAAGAACTACTTGCCCTCTCTGGACTTTTTCTTATTTGTGAAATGAACTATAAAAAGAACTAGATAATCTGATAAAGACAGGAGAAGGTTTCTGAGGGAGATGTTTTTCCTTGTGAGATTAGAGCAGCCACTCAAACTAAACTCAGCTTATTCTTGTAAAGAAATTAGCAGATTTAAAAGAAAACAGATGAGAAGATTCAAAAAACAAAAAAACAATAATCAGAACTAGATTTTCAATATAAATACTCTTCTTATGCAGGCAGATAGTGTTGCCTGTCCATCTGTCTTTACTGTAAAGTTGCTGGTTGTGCGTAGAAATTATCACATATATTACCTGTGGGCCAAAATCTTTTTTTCTCAACCTTCAAGTCTGATTGATGCTCACAGTTGGTTTGTCTTTGTGGGGCCCTCACCTGAAAGACATTTCCCAGATTATAGGTTTCTTTCTGTCTTATTTGATGCTGGGATCCTTATACATCCACACTTCTGCTGCCTTTCCACTCTGACTTGAGCATTGGTGAGCTGATTTATGTTGTATCTGGCATTTCTGAGCTAACTTGGTTTCTTTTCAAGTGAATATAGTAAATAGGCAGTGCACTTAGGTGCACCACATTAAAAATAGCTCCAAGCAAGAGTGTCCTCCCCTTTCCCCTCATTCCCCATATCCCCAGGGCAGTCTCTCACTGAAACTTCTGGAAACGTTTTGGATGCTGAGGGCCATCATAGAATTGAAATGACTGGGGTTAAATAACACATGGTGCTAGACGGTAAGGAGTATTTTATCATAACCAAATGCTCCTCTCTTGTTCCCTTCCTTTAGTAGCTTTCAAAGTCCATATTGGGTTTGACCACATCATTTTCAGTACTCCTTTTTGCTTTAGGGTTTTTCTTTTTTTTGTCAGTTTCTGGGAAGCTGCAGTTGTGGTTACCTCTGAGTTTTAGACAGTGGTAAAATGATGCCTTCAGGTAAAGGCTTGACAGTTGATTGAATCTTTGAAATATCAGAAGTGTCAGTGTATGTAAATTTTACTTTAACTGAGGGCTATTATATGAATAAAAATCACTTGCCAATAATAGTTATCATCTGAGCTCCTGCCATTAGGCCCTGTGACATAGGAATGAGCATCAGTTTGCAGGTGAGAAAACAAAGCTAAGATCCAGCACAATTCCGTATTACAGCTGGTTTGCACAAGTTACTGATGATTTTTGGGTCCAAATAGCCTTTTGTAATGGTCGAAAAGGAATTCTTAGCTTTCCTACAGGGTTGTGATAATGAGATCATGAATGTTAAAAGGATCATGTAAACTATAACATGATCTCTAACCTGGGACATTTTAACCTAAGTGCTGATAGACCATGAAAGCAGTGTGTGAAGTGGTAAGTTCAGGGGTCTGATGGCCCTGGAGATAAATCCTGAGCCTATTGCCTAACCTCTGTCAGCCTGGTTTCTGCATATGTAAAATAAGGGTAAAACGGTCTGCTTTATGTTACATAAGATGTACCTGTGAATTGCAGTGGGTATGCAGTTAAAGTTGGGTACTCCTTTCTTTCCCTTGCACACTGGTACTCCAGATAATGGGATTGATGAAGTCTTCAGTGGAATTGTCCTCAGGGAAAAAAGGCTTTTAAAGCACATTTTTATCCTTATGAATAATTCTTTCAGCTTTTGCCTCCCTACCGCTACCTACAGTGAGTCCAGGGCCCATGATCATTGAGTCCAAAAGGAAGGATTTGAATAAAATCAGAAACCAGAAAGGACAGTCTTTGGTAAGAAATTGAAGGTAAATGTATAGGGTCTTGCTGAGCTGCTTAGGCTAGCCTGGAACTCCTAATCCTTCCACCTCAGTCACCAGAGTAGCTGGGATTTCAGGGGTTCGTACCACCTCCAGCTCCTTTTTAATTCATTTGTTCGATGGGGAAATGATACTGAATTTGAGGAGTTTCTGGCTGATGGAAGGCCCTGGAAGGAGCTGTAGCACAAGGTGGGTGGGAGAGAGGGCAGGAAGGAAATGGAGGAATTGAATGTGGCTGGTAGAGGAAGCTGGAAAGTTTGGCATGGGGAAATTTCTGTCAGATGTAGGATTTGGCTAAATATGGGGCCAGTTTCCACCTAGTCCTGTAGTCTTTGTGCTTCAGGCAGATTTTGACTGGTTGTGGTGCTGTTGTAAATGAGTTTCCAGAGTTAAGTTGTATGCTGAAAAGGAAATTAAATTCCAAGAGGGTATTTGTTGTGACTGATGCCAGAATTTCTCAGAGAATTTTATTAAGATTTAGTCAGTCTATAAAAGTACTTCTTAGTTCTCTGAAGATATTAATTAAGAAATAGTGTAAAAAAAAGGAAGTGTCTCCTTTGTGAATCTTTGAGATGTCATCTTCCTAAATCATTGTAACAAATGAAGTTCAAAACATCATAGAGATTTGTATTTTAAAAGCTTTTCTCCTTGAAAGAAATGTTTTCTTTCTCTTCTCATTTTTTCCCTCCTCTCACATTGTTTTGATAATGAGTTAATTTTGGTTTCCTTCACATTTTGGTATCCTAGCTTTTATATTTTCAGAGCTTGCATGAGCCTTTTCTTTTGGATTAGTTCTTGCTCATTATGAAGAGGTGGTACAGCACAGTGGTGAAGAGTGTACCCTCTGAACTGCTGGGGGGCTGGGGACAGTCTCTTGAGAGTTAGACTTTTCACAACTTGGACTTAATTCTTACAGCAGACTGGAAGAGTTGATCATGTTATTCCCAATGCATAGATGTAGAAATGGGACAGAAACACACATGTGTGTCCAGTCATTACCCTTAGAGTTGGTGATCTGTGGGACTCCATAGCCTGTGTTTCCCTGGGTGCTGCAAAGGCAGGCAGGGGCTTTGCTGGCTGTGCTGAGTATAAGGAGCTGTCCTACAGGTTGGGAGCTCCCTTAAGGGAGAGAAGGTCAGGTCTGTATTCTAGAAAGACGCTTGGTGGGGATATGGGAGTATGAAGTGGAGCAAGTTGAAATTAGTAGAGGAAGGAGTCTATTAAAGTAATTAGTTTGAGATATGATGAGGATTTGAAAGTAAGACACTAAGACAAAGGCAGTGGTGGTGTAGGAAAGGGAACATGTTAGAAGAGCTCAGTCCCTCAGGATATTGGAATTGGCAGAGGGAGAACTCAAATCCAAGCCTTTCTCTTCATCTCCTCTGCTCATCTTTCCCACTGCAGTTCTGAGCCCCCAGGCCCGTGTGTTGGAGATACTGACTCCTCACAGACTAAAAACAATCTTTACAGAAACCAAAACTGCCTCCTTTGGTCTCTTGCTACAGCTAGAGACAGATTTCTGGGTCCAACCTGAAAGAGCCCTCCTCTCTGTGCCTTGGCCTTACTTTTTCCTCTCCAGAGGCATCTCAGAGGATGGGAGTCAGGCTTTTCAGATCCAATTTAAGGAAATGCTGGCATGAACATTTAAACTGTAAGCAAAGTGTGCTAAAGGGAGGAAGCTACCAAAGAAAGAAGCTTGCCTGGGGTGCATTCTGTACCTCATTATTCCCTGGGAACTCACCAGGGGGTTTACTTCTTAGTTATGGTTGAGAGCTGATGTGCCCCAGATGGGGTTGGCTTATCACCAAGCATTCCAACGTGGCTGAGGAAGGAGCGAGAGTGGGTGAGTCCACAGTGGTGAACTGTGGCCACCCTCCCCTGAGTGCCGGAGTCTGTGGGAAGGAAGCCAGGCTGACTTAAGAGTACCACAACCAGCATGGGGAGATGGTTGGCTGGTGTCCTTATTGTAGGACACACTGTTGTCATGTCAGGAATATACTGGTCTTTTGACTTCTTTGCTAGTCAATGCCAGACACAATAGTAAACTTGCTT